TGAGTCCCTGGAAAGCAGGGAGGCCCTGCAGAGAGACCCTGACAAATTCCAGGCCTGGGCAATCAGCAACCGTAGGAAGTTCAACCTTGGGTAGGGCCAGATTGTGCCCCAGGGATGGGGCAAGCCCCGATGGACGGACAGAGTGGGGAAGGAGAGGCTGGAAAGCAGAGGCGGGAAAGGGCCCTGGGGATCCTGGGAAGTGGCCACTTGGCCCTGAGTCAGCAATGCCCTGGCAGCCAGGAGGGCCAAGCCTGTCCTGGGGGGCAGCAGGCCCAGCATGGCCGGCCGGGCCAGAGAGGGGCTTGTCCCGCTCTGCTCTGCCCTGCCCTGGGCGGCCTCCCCTGCAATCTTGGGGCAGTCTGGGGGGACACAACGCAAGGAAGAGCTGAAGCCATTCGAGAGTGTCCAAAGGAGGCAACGAGGATGGCGAAGGGCCTGGATTTGAAGCCGTGGGAGGACACTGAGGGCACTTGGGGTGTTCAGCTGGAGAAGAGGAGACTGAGGGGAGAGCTCCTGGCAGTTCCAGCTTCCTGGGCAGGGGCAGAGGAGGGGCAGGGACTGAGCTCTGCTCTGGGGGGACCAGGGACAGCAGCCAGGGAATGGCCTGGAGCTGTGTCAGGGCAGGCTCAGGTTGGATCTCAGGATGAGGCTCTTCTCCCAGAGCAGGGTTGGGCACTGACCAGGCTCCCCAGGGCAGTGGGCACAGCCCCAAGGCTGCCAGAGCTCCAGGAGAGTTTGGCTGATCCTCTGGGGCACAGGGTGTGACCCTTGGGGATGGGCCTGTGCAGGGCTGAGGGTTAGACTCGCTGATCCTTGGGGGTCCCTTCCATCTCAACATATTCTCTGATTCTGGGATTTTATTTGTTTTGGGGATCTCTCCTGGTTTCCACAAGAAGGCCCGTGGAGGTGGTAGGAGAATGTCGCCTCATTGGGGACCCTCTGAGGAGTGTTGCCCATGAGAGACAGAGAGGAGTCCACACCCTTGGTGGGGAGCTGGACTGGAAACCAAGGAGATCATTTGGTCCTTCTCCTGTCTGGTTGTGTCCCACCCCTGGGATTGGTATCCCATGGGCAAGGAGAATCCAGCTCAGGATACTGCTGCCAAACAGGTGAGGGAGCAGATCCCTCTGCATGAACATGTGGATTTGGATGATCCTGTGCCACAAACCAAATGGCAAGAGCTGGCAGAGGGGCTGAGATGTCCCACCCTATGGTAAGAACCAAAACAGGGGCACCAACTGGAAATGTGGCTGCAGAGAGTACAAGACCCTGGTGCATATTCTCATATCTTCTCTGATCAGGAATCACAGTGTTTATGCCAAATAATAGTTCTAATTATAATTAGATTCAAACTTGACTCCTAAATCAGCCTGAGATTATATTTAACAGTAATCTACTATAATGCAGTGGTTAATCATATCTAACCTTAATACCAGCCTAATCCTTCAAATTATTTCAAATTCAATTCCAACCCAAAGGCAATTATCTCTTGAAACTTAAAATCTAAGCCTTTGAGTTTAAT